CTAATTAAATAACAAATTTTCTATGATATAGACTTACGTGGCTTTAATTTATCAAGCATTTACATTTTTCGCCATAAAAATAAACCTTGATATTTTAACAAAATTCAACAGAAAAACAGAATTATACCGGTAACCAGAAATTTGTTTAGGAACACCTCTGCATTTCAATAAAGGATATTGTAAAGCAAAGAGAATGAGGTTTATGATATTTATATCATAATAAGGTATTTTAACATTAATTTCTAAATGGTTGTAATGCAAGATCATACAAGATCATTTTCTTGAAGAATAAAACAGAAACGTAGAAGTATCTTTTCATATAAGATGTATATGATAGAAAAGATAGGACATGTAAGTATTTTTTCATCCTGGGGATTTAGATTTGGTTTGCACTCTTCATTCAATTCCTTGCCAATGAAATTTTCCATTTTAGGGAAAACACCCACTACACAGCATGTGTGTATGTCCAAGGGTTTGTTTAACTTAAAGAGATACAAAATCTACATGTTTTCCAAACAAAATTGGCCAGTTCAAAGTTCTCTGACCAGTGTAAACTGAAGCAATCAGGCAGCCCTGGTGATACTTGGTTAAAATGTCAAAGGTTACCATGCGTGGGCTTCAGACTTTGTTTAGAGAAAGAGTGATAACCTTGACTCTCTTAAGTACAAGTTTTAAAATCTGAGACTCACTACTCACATTTTAATCATTAATGTTTACCTTGATGCTTGGGTTGTCTTGTAATTTCCCTTTAGCTTGCACCTTCAGATTTTTTGCTCAATTTCCTCTTTTCATTTGATAAGTTCTCAGTTTTATTTAATGGTTTCTGAAAGACAGATTTTCACTGCTATTTTATAAATCATAACCAAACCACAATTCTTATTTCCTAATTTCATCCTTTTATCCGCCTTAAAAATAAAAATAAAATAAATTTTGGGGGCAGATGTTGCTATGACAAAATTTTATTTGATGACTATACATAACAAATGTATTTCCTGTATATTTGGGCAATAGCTAGTGAACCTTCCTGTTCTTCTGTGGGGTATGGAGGTATTTTAAATGACTACTAAGACAATGGAAAGCTTCTTACTCCAAGTTAGAAGAATGAGGTTTCCATCCAGGTCTACCACTTATGAGTATTTTTATCTTGGGCAAGTTTGTTCTCCTTGGACTTTCCTTATTGCCTACTGGTCCTGTTAGAATTATTTAACCTTATTGATAAATAGCATTATTACAGTTCTTGTAAGATCCTGGAATGAAAGATTAGTACTGCTTTTACTAAATTTTAAAGATCACATTTTGAACAAAAGATAAATATTCATGGTGAAATAATTTCTTTTTTCTTTGCAAGTTTAATCATAGTCATGGGGATCAAACCCAGGACTGTTATAATTAGCCCTTTTTAAAGTTTTATTTGCCAGGGATTTAGGTCAGTGGTTCCAGCGCCTTCCTCCAAAGTGTCCAGGCTGGGTTCAAGCTTGGGATCTTCCTGTCTCACCCTCCCACAGTGCTGGTATGATAGGCATGTGTCAATATGTCAGGGTTAAAGATTATATTGATATTATATTA